TGTGGGGAGCAGAGGGAGAGAGTGCTGGCCATGCCCCCCACTGGTGACAGCCCATGGCAAGCTGATGCGGACGTGGCCAACCCCATCCCAGAATTCCAGGAGTGGCTGCCCAAGGTGCTCCTTGAAAGATGGGTTAAAATTTGCCAAAAGAAGGACAATTTTGGTACCAAAATACCCCCATTTATACAGTCAATGGGAAAACCAGTTTGCTCTGTGGAAATCAACTTTAGAGCCGACACTAAAAGATACATGGCCAGAAACAGAGGGCTGGCTACCTCCCCTCGCTCGCAGAGTTCATCCCTGCTTTGGGGCTCACTCAGCCCGCTCTCCCCTCGCAAGCTTTTACCCAAACCCAGTGAACAGGCACGAATGCAGGACAGCATCGTGGGGGTTCTGTGGCTGCCCGTGTGGTCACTGTGTCTCCTCCTCTCTGCCAGGAGAGCAACACTGTATCCATCCTCTGAGCACTCATGGTGTGCCAAGCGCTAAGGCTTCCCTGGGATTAGCTCAGGGCATCCTCCCACATCCTTAACACGGATCATCCCTATTGTGGTGATGAGACGACTGAAACACAGAGAGGTTGAGTAGCTTGCTCAGAGTCACACAGCCAGCTGCAGACCTGTGTGGTAACCGACATCTTGCTGCACGCAAGTCAACCGTACCTCTTTCCACAGTACACACCGCTGAGTTTCCCAACAGTTATAACTTGGTTCTGAACATTTCTCCAAGGTCATTACTACACATCAAACTTTTTTTGTTTTTGTTTTTTAATTACAGTATAGTCAATTTACAATATTGTGTTAATTTCTCGTGTACAGCATGTTGATTCAGATATACATATATAAATTCTTTTTTGTTATAGGCCATTACAATCTATTGAATATAGTTCCCTGTGCTGGACGGCAGGTCTGACTATTGTTATTTACCTATTTTATATATAGTAGTCAGTATCTACAAATCTCGAACTCCCAATTTATCCCTTCCTACCCCCTTTCCCTCCTGGGAATCAAAAGTTTGTTTTCTATGTCTGGCTACATATCATTTTTTTAAAAACAGCTTTATGAGATACAACTGACATACAATAAACTGTACGTGTTTAAAGTACAATTGGATTTTACGTACACATACAGCATCAAGAGAGTGAACAGATTCATCGCCTAGTTTCCTTGCACCCATTACCCTCCCTCCTGCTCCTGCTTCCCCCAACCACTGATCCACTTTCTATCCCTATGGTTTGCACTTTCTAAAATTGTATAGAAACGACGGGCATCTTTCCCTCAGCATAATTATTTTGTGTACAGAACATTTACCAAGAGTGACCATCATTTGGGCCATAAAATGGTAAATTTGAAAGGATTCAAATCATGCAAAGTATGTTCTCTGACCACAATGGAATTAAATATTTGAAATCAATACCAACCAGAAAGATACCAGGAAAGCCTCCAAATATTTGAAAATTAACACACTTATAAATTACCCGTGGGTCAAAAGAAGAAATCAAAAGGGAAATTAGAAAGTTATTTACTTTAATAAACATACAGCAGTTACTGTGGGCCAGACCCTGTCTTGGGCCTTTTCCAAATACAATGAGCTGATTTAGGCTTTGTAACAAGCCAACGAGGAAGACACTTTCACACCCATTTTATAGATGCTGAACTGGAGGCACAAAGAGAGAAAAGTGACTTGGCGGGTTACACAGGTAGGAGTGGCCGAGCTGGAGTCTGACCCCAGGATGCCTGGACCCGGGGTCCGTGCCTTGTACCCTGGCTTCCTAGAGCGACACCGAAAGGTTTCAAATGGAGAAGGAAAGTGGTCAGGACAGGAAGGTCACCTTGGGAGGAGTTCGACAAAGGGTTAGGAGCTAAATCTGCAGGACTTGGAGATGGATGGGAAGCCGAGCTGGGGAAGCAGGAGAAGGCGGGGTAGGAGGGGAGCAGGTGGGAGCAAAGAGCAGGGCTGGCGGGCACCCCACCCCTGTTGAGAACCTGTTGTATCAAGGGATGGGCTGGGGCCTGGTAGAAAGGCAGGTGGGGATGGGAAGGGGTCCCTAATGCTTGAACTGCAGGTCCGCTAGAGTATTAATGAGAACAGAGTGGACAGTGTTCCAGGCGGAAGGAAGAGCGTGTGCACAGCCCGTGGGGGCAGCTTGCAGGGTGAGGTCGCACGTGGAGCGGGACACCGAGCACAGCAGTGCAGCTGAGGGCCAGCGGGCAGGCGGGGCGCCCTGGGGGCTCAGCAGGCCTGCGTCAGCAGTGACGGGGTGTCAGCAAGGGTCTGGGGAGTGTGTGCAGGAGGGGACTGGCAGGGTTAGACTCGTGTTCTCAAAGCTCAGGGACAGACCCGGGCAGAGGCAGGAAGCAGTCCCGTGGCTGTGGAGGTCTTCCAGGTGAGCTGCTCCTTGTGTAAGTTGGGATGGGAGACTGGGGGAGGGGGGGATGAGGACAGAGGGAAGCGGATGCAAGAGGTATTTTGGAGGCAGAAGTGGCAGGGATCCTGCCAGATGCCCTGTGGGGGGTTCCAGAAGGTCACCAGGAAGAAGGCCAGGTAGGTGGGGGAAGTGAGGTCAGCATCCAGGTCTGGAGCTGGAAAAGTCCTGGCCGGAGGTTTTCTGTGGATCACCTGCACATAGGTACGGTTTCAGGAGCCCTGGTGACAGGCCAGGAGAGGGGGCAGAGGAGGAGCAGCCAGGAGAGGGAAACCACAGCATGCGGATGGCATAGGAGCACCCAGTGGTCAGCGTGGAACCGGTCCCAGCCGTCAGGACAGACACGACCAAAAAAGTCCCTGCACTTAGCAACTGAGGCAGGCAGGCAGGGCAGGCGCAAGAGGATTTGGAAGAAGGATGTTAGAGCTGGAGCTTGCGGGAAACCCTGGTTCCCAGGTGGCCTTGGAGCAAGTTCTCTGGAGAAGAAGGGAGAAGACCCCAATTCGAGAATTTCACTGTCACAGATGGGGCTTTGAATGGCTCATCTATAAGACGTCCTGAACCTCCCTGGCCAAGGCAGAAGTGGGCTAGAAAGGAGGAAGTGGGCCAGGCTCCAGGTCAGGAGAGCAGGAGGGCAGCTGCAGGCTAGAGGAGGAGGAGGAGCGACCTCACACTGCTGACAGTGGCAACATGGAAACTTCAGGGCTACCAGCCCATCCCCTCCTCCCCTCCCTCTGCTCATGCGCCCCCGAGCCCAGGCCGCAGGGAAAACCCAGACCACCCACGGCAGAGAGCTTCCAGAGACAGCTGGGGTCGGAAACACGTTTTACAAAGGTCCCCAGCAAATGCTTATAACCCCCACCTACCCTCATCACATGGCTGGTGGTTTCCATTCTATCTTTCCTGTTTTAACCCAGTCGGGACGCCCTGCGTTGATTTCACGGCCTTCTAAAGGGTCTGAAGCACAGACGTGAGAACCCGTTCCGGGAAAAGCTGCGTTTCTCTGAAGACCACGCAGTGGAGGGAAGAGTTCAGTCAAGTTTGTTTACAGCGTAAGGAGATTCCAGATTGTTCCCAAGGGCCCGGAGTGTGGGGGAGGAAGGGGGGGGGAGAGCAATGGTGGGAGGAGCTAGGGATAAAGGAGAGGGGAGGAGGGGGTGGTTTACTCGGGAGAGGCCTGAGCCGCGCAGGGCTGTACTGCTCAGTGGGCGTCAGTTTCCTCAAACGGGAAGCCACCCGGTTATCCACGTGGGCGAAACCCCACCACCCCCCTCCAAGAGTCTTACAACTCTGACCTGGCACTCTTCAAAACATGGGAATGGAATTCCCATTTCGAAAGCAGTTTCTAAGGCAAGTTAATCACCCAAACCATGAGTTAGGTACTTAATACAGATACCTGAAGTTACATGAAAGGATAAAAATGATAGTCTTTACAAAAGCATGATGACTGCAGCTGGGGTAGCATGTTCACCAAACCGTGGAATTCCAGGCTAGGGCCCGCAACATGTTGAAGGACATGGTTTTAGGACAAACCAACAGTAGGAACAAATCCCCACGGGACTGAGCATGGGCTGGGAGAATCTGGGACTTTTGGTGTCCGTTTCAACATGTGCACCTGTGCACAGTGCGGCCTGAGAACAGGACGAGCCCCGAAGAGTCCGTAGCAATGGGATGGGGGAGGGCCCTTGTCCTCGATCCCACTCAGCCTCAGGAACTAGCCACAAGGAACCCCACGAGGCCCTGGGGTCCCCTTTTGCTCTCCGTGCGCATGGGCTGCTCACCCCTCACTTATACCCTATCATGGGTCAACGCCTCTGCATAACGAGGCTCTGGCAGGCACCTGTTACCTGAATTCCTGTGCCCTGAACCCAGAATCGCTGCCCCTGGCAGAGATGCGCCCCAGGCCTCCCAACTCATCCCTGGAACCCAATCGCTGCCCTGGGCCCCGAATCCCTAAATTAGGCCTGAGCCTTTAATCACTGCCCCAGGGGTATAAATGTGACACGGAACTGGGACACCCAAATCCCCTGCTTCGATCCCCAGCCCGTGGCGTCAGGCCCTAAAACCTGGCCCCGGGTCCCCAATCTCGGGCCCTGACGCTGGGGTATCCGAAGCTTACACAACGTGGGGCCCTTCCTGGAGAACTGAAAGTTTACTTTTCTGCACTACACGCCCGCACTCCCCGGCCTGGTCTCGCCGGGCCTGGCCTGGGGCGCCGGGGAGGTGGGAGGAGCAGGTGGGCTTGGACGCAGGCCCGGGAAGCGGCCGGGCGGGGCGCGGAAATGCAGGGCGGGGCTGGGGGCGGAAGTCCCCGAAGGCGCGAGACCTTCCCGAGAATTCCGGGCGGCGCAGGCGCACTGAGGCCGGCGCAGGCGCGCGCGCCGCGGTGCGCGCGGGCGGATCCCCACCGGGGACCCGCGCGCGCC